ACACAGTTAATAGCTAGAGAACCCTCCGATAAAGCTAAAAAAAATAAAAATAAGACTGAAAAAAATTGTCATCAGGATTTAATTCGCAAAGCTGGTTCCATAGACCTAGAAGTCCATGTCCAGATGATAAATTTGAAACACGGAAGACGCCACAATGTTATCAGTGTGGATCCTATCAACATTTAAGACCCGAATGTCCAAAACTTAAGAATAGTACTGAATCTTCTGCTAATCTTAACAGAATTAGTGCAAAACCAGAGGACAAAATTCTATTACCTTATACTAGCATGGGTTATGTAAATGGTCATAAAATTCCTATATTAAGGGATTCAGGTGCTAGTATTGATATACAGTATAAGTCCAGAAATCTGCAAAGCTTGGGACCAAAGGTTGTGCAGATTTTGCGGATTTCAGGGCAGAAAAGATAAAGCATAATATTTGGACTAAAAGTGGAAAATAAATAAGGCGTATTAGATACAATTAATTAAATTATTATATACATTATTGCAATAATTTGTTATATGCATTAAATTATTATTACATACATAAATTGATTATATTACTCATTGTAATTTATGTACACAGCATCGAGGTTTGCCGATTTTGCCTCATGCAAAGATTTCCGGTTTTGGATTCCGGTGTTAGAATTACTACTGCTGTAAAATTTCTACAACTTTTCTTTACTTTTCTGTATATCATACACAATCGTGTCGCAATTCCATACCATCCATTCTGCTATAAATCGAGGAGTTCCATCTTTTGCAGAATGTGCACTTTTCGCATTACCGTCAATGCAACGTGTTTACATTTTTCAACGTTGCAAGCAGTAAAATCATGAGTGCATTTCTTATCTGTCATTGTATTAAAAAGGGCTGAAATTTAAAATATTCTTAATTTATCCAAAAAATATCCGGATTAAAAAAAAACAGCACTAAACAATCTCGTGAAATAATAAAGCTAAAAAAATAAAACAATGTGAATCGTGAACTTGAACAAAGAGTTGAGTGAATCGTCTGCTTTTTTACCTTGATGCAGATTAGAGGGGAAAAATCTTTCATCTTTTTTATTTTATCTTATTTTTTTTTACTTTTTTATGTCAGTAATTTGGTATTTTCGTTATGACTCATTATTATTCGGTAATTATGATGTCATTATTCGGTAAGTATTTTTTCTTCGATATTTCGTACTCAATGTTGCGGTTTCCGGAACCTATAAACTGAATGTTTATGTTTTGAGAGGCAATGCAGATTTAAGGTCGACGGATTTTCGGTATTTGACCGTAGTTTGTTGCAAATACATCGTGCCGGAAATGCTGACAGGTGAAAATGTGTGGGGTCAACAGCCATTAGATTTGAATCCAACCTGTTTACCATTAGCTGAGGTCAAACTAAATTGTGATCTTGGGTGAGTAATAACCAAGGCTGCCATTATTATAATTGAACTCGACAAAGGAAGATATTTAATAGGCAATCGAACTTTTTCACTGTTGAATAAACAAAGAAAGGAACCTGATAGTTATCCTCACCGGATTAATGCCATCTCTACTAGAGCTCAAAAGAAAAGTAAAATAGCTGAAGAGAAGATCTTGGAGCCAATAAAGGAAGAAAATAAAGCATCCAGAGATGTCTTTGAAGAAGAAGTTAAATCAACGGAATAAACATGAGAGATGTTCACGGAAATTTGAAAAACGATAAAGAAAATTAATATTGAGAATCCTTTTGTAATGCAGATTTATCATCATCTTTCGGCTTTTAATTTAATATCAAAGGTGCTAATAATTGACGAAGAAAACAATTGTCGAAAGCAAATGGCAGTTGAATATTATCCAAAAGGCACAGATGAATTGAGGAAAGGCTTTGCTGTGAATTATAGCTGAGGAGCTGGTCCAACATGGAAGAGATCTAGGTGCCGTCAAGAAAAAAGGAAGACTAAATGAATACTGTCAATTTTCTTCTTATTTAAATGTGATGTAAAACTATTTGTTGAAAACTTAAAATTTTGGTTTAAAATTTGGAACTTGTGAGAGAAATTACCTTCTCTTAAAACAACTGAGAAGGCCAAGCTCATAAATTTTCGAATTTTACAGAAGTCTCTCTGTTGGGGGAGAGGTTGTAACAGCTTTAATATCATTATTACTCTCTCGTGCATTTGAAATAGATGACTAATAAATAATGTACAGGTTACTGTCAATATTGAAACGCAGGCTCGATAGCCACATGCGTTTTCTCGCACAAAGCATGTAATTATTTTTTTTAAATATGTTTATTTACTTTTTCTTCTCTTGTTTGTATGTCACCATTTTTTTTTTTTTTTTTTTTTTTTAAGTGTAAAATAAAAGTTATTGCTGTGTTCCATTGTTGGAATTTACTTCAAATTGTTAAAGAAGTATCTCAAGATTCTCAAACCATCATTTATCACAAGTCACCAAACATGATCAATATGTGAAAAAAAGGTGTTTTAGTAATTTAAAATGCAATTTTTAATTATTAAATAAGTATTACACTATGCATTAAAAAGTAAAACACTTTCATTCTTGCCAATTTTTATTTATTTATTATTTTTTGGGGAGAGGTTCTGTTTTTTTCTTCAAGTGCACAGTCATCTGTTTTTTCAAACAGTTTTTCATTTTATTTATTATAGATGAATCATTATAATTGATATATTGTTCGTTTAATTTAATATAGAATATATATGTGGAAAATGTTTTCATTGTTACAGTTCTTATACTGATATGTCTCTCAATACTGCTAATCAATGCAATTATCTGCGAGAAGCATGCATGCCTAGTATGAAATAAGAAGAATATAAAAAAAAATTGGTTTTTCTGAATAAGAGTAATTTTCTTATTTATTTATTTTTTTTTTAAAGTTAAAACAGGTCGATGTGTACATGGAGAGTAGTGCCAAGTTGCTATGCAATGCCAAGAAATTTACAGTTCTCTGACTTTTCTTTTTAAAGTTAAATTGGGCTACTGTGCACGTGGGCCAAGAAAATAGAAAATTATGGGTTTTATTGTGGATATGTTGCAATTAAAATTTACTTAATTTACTTTTATATTAATGCAAACTCTTGGTACACTTCGGTAATTCTTTACGAATAAAAAGATAAAAGCTACTTATCACATATAATTTGCTGGTTTTTGCATCTTTTTGTTAGAAACTATTGATATTTGTCGGTAAACGTTATTAATGCATGAAAAGAAAACATACTTTAACAATTTAAAATACAGATTAGAACTATTATATAAGAATTAGATGATACATAAAAAAAAAAAAAAAAAAAAAAAACTGAAAGGTTTTAGATTTTAAATTATGTCTAAAGGGGAATTTTTTTTTAACATTTTGTGTGTTACCTTTATTTATTAAATATCATGTTCTTCACACTTAAACCATAAAATTAAATTCAAGAACAATATTGCAAAATAATTTTAAAATGAGCTTGTGTTTAGAATTTCCGATACACAGTCTTGCGCGCTGGAGATAAATATGTTTTTTCCTGTACAATGTTGCCATTGCTCCTTTTGAAATCCTTGAGTGTGTTAGTCAAAAATTCATTGAAGTTTTACAAAATATGAAATTGATAATAAAACAAATTCCAAATTTCTGCTTCCAGATGCCCATATTCGCAGGAGGATTACGTTATTCAGAATTTTGTGGCTGTAGGTACCGTTGTTTTATCACAATGCGAGGGATACATACATTTATGCAGATTCTTCATTCTTTAATTTCTTTAAATATAATACATGGTGATAATATTTGGTGGCAACAATTTGAAAAGTGAAACAATGCTTGTAGTAAATCAACACTAAATGCCAAAATGAAATTAATAGTCCTTCTGGGCAAATTGCCCGTTTGGACTAAAAACTTACATTCTTCTTGAAATCTTTCTTTAATTTTTTTTTTACTTGTGTTATTCTTCTTCCAAAGTACACAGTGATGTGTTTTTGCTTTAAAAAAAAGTTAGAGAATTGTGGCTTTGTGCAACCCTCGGCAACAGCAGCTATCTACAAAATGCATTTCCTCATTGTTCCCTTTGGAAAATTTTCTGAAAAATTCTGTATTACTGCAGAAATTTTACTGCAGTTTCTTCCATTGCTGTCAACTACAAACTCGTATTTTAAAAGTAAGTTTAAGGTAAAAAATATCATGATTTGTTTTTAAAAACTGTTGGAACTTTGAATGCAATGAAAAAGAACACATACAGAAATGGCAGCAATGCTTGACTGAAAGATTGTTATGAACATGATTGCTTAATTGAGTTTAGCACGTTCTGAAAATTTAGCAACTGCTACTAAGATTGTTGCATTAATATGCATCCACCTTAGCAGTTACTATATCTTAGTTAATTTATTACTGTTTGTAAAATTTTGAATTTTTCATTATACTTAATTTATAATTTTTATTATGGATGTTTTTAACATTTTTAATTTTGTTACTTCGTTGCTGTTTTATGCAATTTTCAGCGTGCCATCATTTAAAAAAAAATGACTACTATTTCTTACATGTTAGCTTGGCAGAAAAATAGTCATCAAAGATTGGCGACTTTGTGAGAACACACTAACACTGAGTGGATAACGTGAAAGTGTACCCCCTTTTCTTTATTTGCCAACTAGATTTAAAATCTTCCACCTATCTGAGATATTCTATATCTGTTTTTATGTTACCGTATTCCCTTTTATATTTGGATACTTCTAAAAGAATGAAATGTAATCCAGAGAAATTATTAGACTTATGTGTGTGGGGGGGAGGCATAATTCAGTAAGTGAGGGTAAAGAACATACAAGCAGAGTCATATATTGCATTGTATGAATGAAACATTTTACTTTTAACATTGAGTAATTAATTGGGGAAGCAATGAAATGACATATAAGTGAGAAATATATAAAATTTTAACTACAGAAGTACTAATTCTTATGCTTACTACTCTTGTTATTATTTTATCCACTAAAATAGCCCATTTAATTACATTTTTTTTTTTTTTTTTTTCATTTTAACATATAGGAACATTTTCCAGAATTTTCCTGATTAACATTTCTATAGAGCGATTTTCTGTTTGTATTGATATCACGTTACATGAATCTCTTTGATGAAACAGATATTGTGTTATAATGGATAAAATCAGCTCTAAAGAACCGGTATGTTTTCTCCCTTTTTCATATTTTCATTAAATTTTAGTGTTCATGGTATGTAATATTTTTCTAAAAGTTTTTTTCTTCTTTGTTGTTATGTCACTGTATTTTTCAAAATAACTACGTCCTATGGTTCAGGTTTATAGTATGACTAAATATGAAAGCTGTTTACCTTGAGGATTCAGGATAACAAATCAGCAGTGCTTCCTTTAAGTGCATATAGTAAATTTGTACCGAAATTATTAAAGAAGTGCAAAATGTTTCTAGCAACCTTAAGAAATTTTAAATATGAAACTACAACTAATGCTATAAACTACATATAAAAACTTTATATCAATGTTGTGATTTCTGTGCCAGTTGTTCAGATTATTCCTAATTGTATATGTTACATCAAACTAATAAAAAAAGGCAAAATATCACAAATTTTGCATGAAATTCAGATTTCAAAATCAGCTGTGTTGTGAGAAGTGAAATAATCCCAGTTTTGTGCCAAATATTAATCCAAGATGAGGTTTGGCTCTAAAGTTTTTATAAAAACAGCGTTTTAAGGAATTGTGCTAATTTTTCTCTGCCAAGTTAACTATAAAGTTGTCTCCCATAAAAAGTGAAATAACAGTAGAATCCGAATTATTCAAGTTTTGATTAACCAAGGTTCTATGTTATGCAAGCTCAATGCAATAATAATAATAATAATAATAATAATAATAATAATAATAATAATAAGGTTGTTAAAATAGCCTTGCTCGAAAGATAAACAATCTGTAGACTTGGATTTTAGCAATAATTCAAAGATAAAAACTCCACCATTATTATGTTTGAGCTCAACAGCCTTGATTTTTTGCTTAGAGTGAAAAAAATCAGTTAGTTTTTAGTTTTCACTCAGAAGCCACAGGATGTAACTTATTATGCAACAATAGATCATTATAAGCAATTTTGGCCTTCCCCCCCATTCTAGTAACTGCTTGTTGAACAGTGGCTGGCAGAAGAAATTGTATGGTTTTATCACTAGAAAAAAAGCATGGTGCTATTAACAGGCTATATCATAGTAAACTGATTAAAAGGTGACTAGTTGTTTACGCATTGGCAAACTTACAGTTGGAGACTGGAGAAGGAAAAGGGAAGAAATTGAAAAAAAAAAAAAAAAAAAAAAATGGTTGACTCAGTATGCATATGTGATTATAAGGTATAGGTGCAAAAGACCCCCCCCCAAAAAAAAGTTGAGATGGGAAAAAAAACAATGAAAGATAGCAACTGTTAACAGACATTAAAAGCATTGTTCTTATGGTTTCAGCATATAAGACAGCAGAAGTCCAGTATCTGGTCCAATATAAGGCTTTGGACTTTTTTAACATGGCAAACACAGTGAAGAGGCAGTTGCTAGCACAAGTTGGCTTAATTGCTGGGAAAAAACAATATGCATTGCAACAATTAAAGATTACAGGGGAGATTTTGTCAACTAACTCAGTGACTCCTTCTAAACAGACTAGGACCACAGCAAAATTATAGCTGGGACGAAACATATCTGAATTTTAAAGTGTCTATGCAATATGCAATTTTGCTACGTCTATGCAATATGCCGGCAGGAAAATAAAGCAGCACAATAAAACAGAAAGCTATTACTTGATTTCTATAAAAATGTGTGATATTTTATGCATACTCTATAGCACTTCATTTGTAGTGCATGTACGTGTTTTCAAGTACATAGTGTATTTAGTACCATGTATATATCTGTACATTTGAACCAGCATAATCGGGATTCTTTTGTATATATTGGAATGAAAATAAGCATTTAAACATATTTTAGAAATGTAAATTGGATGAACAGTATAGTAGTATAAATAAAGTATCAGACAGAGGTAAAACATTTAATATATAATCAAATTCAAGAGTTTAAAACTTCATTCTTGATTAGTTAATAAAAAAATTATCTTTGGGACTTAAAAACATAATTTTTAATTTGAATAATTAACAGTGCCCTTTCCCATTTAACCTAGAAAATCCTGAAAAACCAGGAAAATAAAAAAAGTCAAAAACTGAAATTTCATCAAAAATGTCAGGGGAGTTTTAAAAAAAAAAGTACTGGTTAGTTGACTCAAATAAGCATTAGTTTAGAAGCTCATAGTATCAGTTAGCAATAGTAATAAATAAGCAATAGTTTAGAAGCTATATATTCATTTTTTAAGTAATACACAAATAAAAATGCTACTTTTAAATGCAAAAATCAATACAAATAATTAGAAATGCATAAATACAAATTATTCTATCAATAATAACTTATTAAATTTTTAATTCTATTAAATTCTTCTCAGTTTTACAAAACAAAAGTAAAAGGGCTATTTTTATGAGTAGTTTGGCAGTGTACATCGGGAATATCATGTATGGCCAAAAAATAGGTGTCATTTCTATTAACTGATCAAAATAATGCAGATGCATTTGTGGTTTACTACTCTGCATGTTGTGTAGAATGTAACACGATTCAGTTATTTGAATATTAGGACCTTTGCAGGATTGACAAGAACTTTATCAGTCCTGCTAAAAATACTGCAGACAGCATTAAAAAAATGATTAAAACTAACAATTTTAATGGCTTAGTAAAAAGTAATTAACTAATTGAAAGCAGTTGATCACAGACTACATCATAATCTAAAATTTCTTTTGCAGAATCTAAGATTTTTTTTACAGAGTTTGATATTTATTTTTAAAAACCCAACTTTTTTTTTTCCTTGGTTTTTAATATGCATATTTCCTGTAGATATTTTCAAGATCCCATTCACAATAATAAATATGATAAATTATTGTAATTTTGTTTTTTATTGCATTGTATTTTGTAATAAATTTATAAAAATATTCAGTTACTCATACTTAATTTGATAACTAATTCCTGTATTTGGTCAGGGAAATTAAAAGTTGAATTTTGGTAAGAATCATGTACTTTTTTTTTTTTTTCCCTGGCACTTCTGCATGTTGAAATTTGTGTACTTTCATTATGTATTCTTTCTGTCTTGCAAAAAGATGATAAATTAAAAACAATTGTTATCGAGTCCTTCCCTCTCATTCTAAAGATAGCAATGTATTTTTAATAGGTTTAAAAATGTGTCATAAAATTCAGATGTTTTGTACCACAAAATAAAAACTTTTATCTTGCTTTTGTTTAAGTTTGTTTGAAAATGTGCAAAATTATAAATTCAATTTTTTTGCAATTTCACACAATACGGTCTCCATGAGGCATATGAATGTTGGTGGCACTTTACACAAACCAAATGGCATCACCTTGAGTTGTCAGCTTCCTTGTTCAGTAGTAAATGCTGTATTTTCTTGGTTGTTGGTGTATCTTTACCTGCCATTGCACACTTTCAAAAACCACTTGCTTCCAGAAAGAGTGTCATGAATTTTAGGAAGAGTAGGTGTCTTTGTTATGTTATTTAACCAGTGATAGTCAACATCAAATCCGTTTGAACCATCTTTCTGATCGGGGTGATGCGAGATGCCCAAGGACTTGCTGAAGGCTCAATAACATTGTTTTCTTGCATGTTCTTTAGAATTTTTCCCACCACTTCCTATTTAGCAGTTGGTAGGCATAGTAGGTTGCTTGGGTAGTGAATGATCCCCATATCAATTCTGTGTTGTACCAAACTTGTTTGACCTATATCAGAATAGATACTGGAGAAAATATCTTGAAATTCTTGAATGATATTGTTGCGTGCATACCGGTTCGTTATGAAATGAATGCACAAGTCCGATGAAAAATGGACAAAATTTTATTATTATCACAATAAAGATGCTTACATTTTCAGTAATACAATATCTCACAGTAGTTATCTTTTAAATACTCAAATGTCCAATAGAACGTAATTCAAAACAGCTAAAGAACGCTAATCCGCGAATTCGCTACAATCAACAAGAGCAGTTTTCTAAACAACAACAAACTAAGCAACTACTACAAACTGAGATGTTTTCCTCCTTTTATAAGATTTTAAAATCACGCGCTAGAATTTTCCAGTACTTTCTCGAAATCAAAAAGAGATATTTATTTATTTAATGCACGCGCTCTTGTGTTTTCAATTTTCTGGCTTAGCTTTCTTTTAATATTCGTCATGCGCTGCACTGCGCGAGAAATAAAACCATTTAATTTATAATTGAACTAACATTAGCTTTTTAAATACCAAATTCGTAACAATATTTTCTCCAGCAACCTCTCTTTATTGCTTAGTTGTGCAGTCTGCAATAGTCCTGATATTAGGCTTTCTGAAGACACAGAGACTGAAGCACTATTGGATCATTTAACACAAGTCGCTGGGGTACATGCTGCAACCACTTCACCTTTCCACTTACATTGGTAACTGTCACCAGGATGATGGTTGTCAATAGTTGACTAGTACTGTGGTTACTAGAACCCCTTTCAGCCTTTTACATTTCTTAAGATAATTAATAATTCCATTCTGCCATACCGGAAATTTCTTTTTTCAGCTATGGATCCAGGAAGCAAAATATCTGTTCTTGATGTTATTGTGATTTGATCTTGAGCTAATGCAGTTCATTATTTTTAAAATTCATGGAAAAATTATATTTCCTTAGAAAGTCTAATGCGAATATGCAAGGATCCATAATATCTACTACACATGTCATGTGATGGTATGCAGCACTCTTAAATGTGATATTAAAGCTTAACTTTCCATCAATTTCGATTTTATCCCAGTCTGGAGGAATGCTAGGTGGCATCCAGATGAGTTTACCTTTCAACTGTTGAGCTAAATCTTTCTGGGTGATGGTAATACTTGCTCCAGATCGATGATCGTATTGCAAGGAACTTCATTTGTATGTCCCATGATGAAGAGACCATTACTGCCGCCACTTATTGCAAAAGTCTGAAGTAATTTCTGGATGATGGTAATACTTGCTCCAGTATCAATGGTCATATTGCAAGGAACTTAATTTATATGTCCCATGATGAAAAAACCATTATTGCCGCCACTCATTGCAGAAGTGTGAAGTACTTTAAAATGAAGCTTCCCAATATCTGGCGACCTCCACCAGTGAGATGGCCACTAATTAGTTTCCTTCCTCTTTGCTGGGAATAGTTTGTATCCTGTACAGTCTACACAGTCTTAGCTCCTGTATATTAGGGTGTTCTGTTTGACAGTAATTTTTTTTTTTATTTTTTTATTAGCTGTCATCTCTAGGCAAAACAATATGCTTGCAAATTGAAATGAAGACATGAAGCATTTAAGAGGACTATAAAAATAAGCTCATTGAGAAAGAACTGGAATAAGTTCAGAAGCAGCAATAAAAGGTGACTGTGGAGAAAGTATCTTCAAAGAACAAGGAGGGAATAGAACATAAACCTAACTCTTTGATTCGAAAAATTTATGCTAAGTGGGGTAGGAGCAAAGCGTCATGAGAGGATATTGCTCTGAAAAAGCTGTAGAATGGTACAGCATGAGCATTTTCAATGATAATGCATTGTCTCATCTTTGGAAATTTCTAAATGAGGCAACAACAAATCACATTGAACAAATTTTGAGTGAAGCAGAAGCCCAATGAATCTAGAAGTGACGAGTGACACTAAACAAAGAAAACATACACCATAAACTCAGTTGATTACCTTATGTTTTTATGGAAAGGGAATCCTCATTGAAATAACAACATTGCTTCCTTTTCTCATCCTAATTACTTTCTAAAATTCCATTCATTTTTCTTTGTATGGGTATAGCAAAATTAAATCCAGTTTTTATTTTATCTACTCAACATTACGTTCCACCCCCTCTAAATTTAATGATTTCCATTTGTTTCATGTCACAAAAGTATTGAGTTGTAACACTAACAAAACTATTGCACACAAAATGTTGTTGTAAAGGTACACTCTGGTTAAAAATCCAACCCTGAGAAGAATCACCAGGCAATGTGCTGGCAACTGAAAATTTTATGAAAATTTATTTATCTGACAACTCATAAATGGCTGCTTGCATTATTCCAGCATGGAATTCGGCTTTTGAAATTCTCTGGCCATCTTTCTGGCTGCTGCTTATTAACATTTCTTAGGTGAAGGTAGTTTTTTCCAAATTTGTGCAATTGTGTGGTGTTTTTTCTGGTGCAAAGTCAAAATAGGTCGATATATACATGCAAGAACAGTGGGAAAGTAGCTTATCAGCTGTTCTTAGGTGATTGTGATAATTGCTTTTTCCGAATTTGTGCAATTCTCCAATGTTTTTTTAACAGGTCAGCGTTTACATGCAAGAAGAGTGGGGGAAAAGGTAAATGTTTTATTGGCGACTATATTTCACATTTTAGGTTAGTGAAACATTAGTTGCCAGCGATTGACAATTTTGTGGGAGGTTTAGTGTATAAGCTGAGAGTACCACTTTAAATTTTAAATAAGCAAACATCTGTGGTCCAGGAATAGATTTATCCGATTTTACATCGGTTACTGTTCCGAAAATAATTTGTTTACAAATATGTCAGATGAAGAGCATCTTTCAGGAATGATTTAAATTTATGAACCAAGGCTTCACTGTATGTGGGACATTTAAAAAGATAATGCATAAGGTAATAATGCAATAATGTGCATGGCAGAAGTACAGGGTGGTTGATGCAACTAGAGTAAATTTATGTTCTTAACAGTTAAATGCTAGAGGCAGCAGCAATATGCTGAGTTCTTTTTTGTACATCTGTTTTTAAGTGATGAATGTTTGAATTTGAGACTTATGGTGCTTTTAAGTATGTGCTTTTGGGACAGTGGACAGTAATACAGTCTGATGTTGGCCTTATCATTTTTATGAAGGTTTTTCTCAACATACAGAATGTCCAGTGGCCAAGAAAACCAAATTTATGAACCAAGCATCAACAGATGAACAAAGTGTGATGATCAACAGATGAACAAAGTGTGAAATTTGTGATAGATCCTTGAGAATGAACATACAGTAGTATACAGGAAGGTATTATAAGCTGTTTCATCAACATCAGTATAATATAATTTGATAGAAATTTGTAAAAAGGAAGTGTTTATGTCCAGTAAGCCCTTCCCTCTTGACTTTGAACAGAAGCAGAAATGCCTGATTGTTGCAGTGTTCCTGAAACAAAAATTGACATTAAAGATGAAACTTTTCTGTCTCAAATAATCATCACTGAGTGTGTGGGAATTAGAGACTTTAAACTGAAATTGAAATTGCAGGCAAGTGGAAACTTCCAAGCTCTACAAGATCCAAAACATTATTAACTAGTTCAAACATGAATGAATGCAAAAGTTGTGCAGAAAACTGCACAAAAACTAGTATGGTTTGCTTAGAGTTGGACAACTCGTTTTGCATAATGCAGCATGTCTGAACCTGAAAAAAGTTTTGACTAATTTGCTGATCAAGTATGATTAGAATTATTGCCTTTCTTACTGTACCATACAGATATAAGTCCATTCGATTATCAGCATCTTTTCTAAGCTGGAAAAACTACTTTAGGGTAAAATTTTTCCTTCCTGGGGAGGTTTCTTCGGTAATTACCCAAAAATTTAATAAAAGTGGTACACTATATAAGACTTTTTTAATTTAAATTTTGTGATGGAAGAAGATTAACATAGAAAAATTGTAAGAAGAAGCAATAAAGAAAACCAGTAAGAAGTAAAAGTTAGTGTACATTGTTTTTTTAAATGAGTTTTATAAATAGTCTTAAACGTAATATTAGGATTTTTTTTTGGGGGGGGGGGTGCGTGTGTAAAATATTTCATTACAGCAATACTGATTGTCAATCATTAGTAGTTTTTGAGCTTTTATGTTTTATGTCTATTTATTCAATTTATCACAGAAGTGGTCATTTTAATTTTTTTGTCATAGATCTCTCCTCAATATGAATGTGACTACTGTCAGATGAAGTTTAGAAGTAAGAGAGTTATGTCAAGGCATATTTTATCCCATACAAGTATGGCCATTTTATTAATGCTTCTTTTAATAAATGAAGTGTATTTATTACAAAAAGTAAAAACCACTATCATTATCTTGTCATTTATCAGTGATCTCGTATATCAGTTACTTTGTGTAGGTATTTTTGGTAAAATTTGATTGGATGGGATCTGATTTGATTGGTAAGATGTAACTTGTAAATGTGTTAAATTGAAAAATAATACAGTACAAAGTCTGTAATCTGGACTCGTCGGGACTTCGGCGATTCCGAATTAGGGTTTTTTCCGGATTATAGATCATCAATTTAAATCTTGTAAGATGGCATGCAGAAATTATACAATTAAAAATATGAAACTGTAATTTATGAAATAAAGAGCAATTATGATCTAAATGGTATGAAATTTTACAAAAAAAAAAAAAAAAAAAAAAAAAAAACTTAAATGGCTTATTCACCAATAAAGGCTGCAATTGGCTAGTCAGTCCACCAGGAATGACAGCTATCTGGGTTTTTAATTCTCTCGCTTTATTCTTTATGGTTTGAGTTCTATGGGCGCTAAACTGATCCAAAACCAAAAGAGAGGGTTTTCTTAAGAGTCCACCAGGTCGCCTCGCCCATATGTTCTGTAACCGCAGTTTCATTCCATCTTTGTCCATCCAGCTTTTTGGATGAACATGAACAATTACACCCGTTGGAAGTTTTTCTTTCGGATGAGTTTTTCTTTTGAATATGAAAAACGGCGGTAGTTTTGTGCCATCAGCACAACGTGTTAGAACTACCGTATATTGGGTTTTTATGGTTATTGATTTCGACCCTTTAATACTCACAGTCTTGTGGATGGTACATCAAATGTGAGTGGAATTTCATCCATATTTCGTATTTGACCGAACTCAAAATAAGTTTTCTTGCGTGTATTTATAACAAATCTATAAAATGCTAGTATTTTTTCTTCATAATCTGCTGGCATTTTCTGTGCAATAGTTGTTTCTGTTTGCATTGATAAGCCTTGCCTTTTCATGAACCTGTAGCACCAGTCCTCAGACCCTGAAAAGTTCTGATTCCCATAATTTTCTGCAAATCCTTTGGCCTCATTGATTATCATTTTGGTTGAAACACTTATCCCAGATTTCCTCTTATCTATCACCCACATTTTTACGGCATTTTCAATTTCAGGTCAAGATGGAGCTGGGCATCGAAGGTTATGTTTTTGTTTTTTAGCAGTGTTCAGTTGATCTTCCTGCAGTCGCCAAGTACGTTTCATTTTTTTGGTAGGTGGTGGACCGAAATGCCTTGCTGCTGCTCTGTTTCCATGCACTTTGGCGTAGTTTAACACTCCTAGTTTATATTGAATTGTATAGCTTAATCTCTTGTTTCCTGTAGTCATATTTTCCATGATATTTATTTCAAACAAATAGTTTTAAGCATCGATACCGACACGTTTATACAGAGTAGCACCGATACCGAAATGTGTGTCTGCTGAGTCAAAGAAAGTCTAGAAGGAAAGGCTCCATAGACGTAATGTGACCGTCAAACCTGTTCGAACTTTGACATCAGCTTCAAGCTTTGACGCTTTTTGGCGACAGATGTTTCACGCATGCGCAATATAATTATGGCAGATGTAGAAAACGTTATGTGTGTCTAGACCTTTATCCGGGCTAAAATAGCATTCAGTATTGAAAGTTAACGTGTGTCCTTCACGTATAAGACGCAGGCAACTTTTTTGAGACCAAATTTAGGAAAAAAAGTGCGTCTTATATGCCGTCAAATACGGTAAGTAATGTGGCATGAAATGATTTTCTCAATTTTTGGGGGCTAAATTGGTTTGCAGTACAACTAATTTTTTCCAGCTTACCCATCAATGTGAATGACCCTTCTGTTTTCATTCAAAACTCACAACTAATAATGTTTACTACCTTTATTCCTGCAGCTGACATGTGACTTGACGTTGGTAAATTATGTAGAATTTTAGCTTTTACAGCCAGCATTGGATTTCTACGCACTTTCAGTATAATTTGAGTTAAGCGATTATGCATTCTGTCACGTAAATTTATTAATTTAGAATGTACTTTTAATTTATTGGTAAGTATAAAAAAATGCTTTACTGAAGTAGGTGCTTGATTCACTTTTCAAACTGTTGCCACTAAATATTATTGCCATGTATTATATTTAAATAAACTAAATAATGAAGAATCTCCATGAATGTTTCTTGCATTGTGAAAAAGTAATGGTACCTAGAGCCATCAAAATTTGAATAACATAGTCCTTCAACTGAACATGGGCACTTCTAAGCCCTAATTTTGAATTTTTTTTATTACCTATTTCATATTTTGTAAAACTTAAACAAACTTTTAATTAACGAACTGAACGATTTCAAAGCGAGCAATGGCAACACTACAAAAAAAAAAAAACATTTTTGTCTCCAGCATGCGAGAATGTGTATCGTAAATTCTAAAGATATGCTGTTTTAAAATATTTTGTGATATTGCTGTTGAATTCAGTTTTATGTGTTTATGTGCGAAGAACATGATATTTAATAAATAAAGGTAATTAATGCACAAAACGTTAAAAAATGCACTTCTGTGTGTAATATAAAAATCTGAAAGCTTTCAGCAGATTTTTTTTTTTTTTTTTAATTTGACTTTCAGTATGATATATATTTATCACTGTTTTATCTCTTTAAAGGGTATTTTAAATGAAATGTTCATAATTTAAATTCATATTACGCTTTTCATTATATACGAAATTTACCCAAATCACACAGTGGCTTTTCACAAATTTTGGATGATATATTTAACTGAACAGTTTGCTTGGAAAATAGCTTTATATGTCATATTTTCCAAGATCTGATGTATGTATATAATTTTGAAAAGAATAACGTATCAAAAAATAGCCAAGGTTGAAGGAATTCCTAAAAATTTGCAAATAGTTTAATATTCTAAAAAAGATTATTAGTTGAGAAAAATTGAAAGTTTATAGAATTGTCATGAAATTAGAAGGAAAAAAAGAATTGTATTCTTAAAAAGAAGAGAAATGTTCTTGTTTAGGAAATCTGCCACAAGTGTGAAAATTAATATCTTAATTTAACATTTAGTACCATATGATATAAATTATTGTGAAATTACCAGATGTGCTTATCAATTTTAATTAAGATGAGTGCATTTAGGATGGGACGTTTGCAAGAACAATATTCTTAAAATTCAGAAATGAAATTATCACTGCTACTAAGAGTTCTGTTTTAAATTTTTTAGTCTCGATTCCGTTTCGATTAATCGTTCAAGAACTAAAGGAGGCTACTAAAATAAACCATAAAAATAATTTACCTGTTTTTTGATTAAATAGTATCTCCCCTCCCTTTTTTTTAAATATTGAAAAATATGTATAATTAATCTTAGCCATATAATGATAAAATTAGTTGTTAAGAAATTTCAAATGTTATTTTTAATTTTCCACATCTACACCACACACAAAATGATAAATAAACACCCCAATAAATATTCATATAGGCGATTATCACTGTCTGGTTATTTTAAAGGACTTTTATCACACATGTGCTTTCACCCAGTGGGCTTTTGTTTGGTGATTAGTAAAAATGGAAATGGAAATCAGAGTTAGAACTACATTTCTCACTATTTCTGAAATTTCATTGAATGTTCTTGTCTCAGTCCACATATATTTTAGTAAACTACTTTTTCATCTTTAATGCTAATTAAAACCAAATGTCATTCAACGTTGAAAACATGCTGAAGATGCTTTATGTCCAGCAGTGTCAAATATCGCACCACCATTTAATTTCTTATGCAGCAGAAAACAAGCATATCTGTCTCATTCGAATTTTCTTTAATTTTGTTTTGCTTTTAAGCTACTTCTAAATAACATAAAATTACTTCTTTTTATATGTATATTGTTTACCAAAGAAGTAAATTATTTATGGGAGGACATTTATTTTTATACTTTTATTTTATATTTAATATCTGGGGTAGTGAAAAAAAACTCAGCGATAAAAAGGGGTCACAGTTTAAAAATGTCTAAGAAGCTCTGCTCTAGACAGTTAGTGTGAGGGGACAATACCTGTAAAATCTCATAATGAAGTTCTGGTGTCCTTTACACTTTTACCTGCCACCTGCCTGAGCTTTCATTCAGGTATGAAAAAATATTAACTTTATTTCTCTGGAAAAACACTTTTTTGATTAACAATGATTGTAAATATTGGGAAGACATCAGAATAGGCATTTCTAATGTCAAAACTATGAATTATTTGGAATATGCATTAATTTTTAAGCAGAATAATTTTTTTAATAGATAGAAATAAAGAATCAAGTGTTATTCAAACACAGGTAAAGAAATGCTTTCAGAATTTTGTCTTAGGCACAGCTATTCCTCAAATGAAAATATCCTTTTCTGTAGCATTTGATATGTGAATTAAAAATGAGAGTAAAATCTTAAAGTGTATATTTAGGCTATGAATCTTCAGCTAAATTTTGTAATTTTATGTCTTCACAGTAAATTTTTTATTTGAACAATTTTTTATTGGGATGGAATCCTTTCAGATAATATGTTTTTGAAAATTTTGATTGAAATGATGAAATGAAATGAAAAATGAGAGTAAAATCTTAAAGTGTATATTTAGGCTATGAATCTTCAGCTAAATTTTGTAATTTTATTTCTTCACAGTAAATTTTTTATTTGAACAATTTTTTATTGGGATGGAATCCTTTCAGATAATATGTTTTTGAAATTTTTTGATTTGATTTGTTATTTTTTACAATTAAAGATAGAAATAATTATTGACACCATTTAAACAAAAACTTGCATTAAATATAGAGTCAAAAGTCGTTAATTCGGACACCCATAATCCGGAATGATCTACAATCCAGACCTCAAAGCTACAAACTTTCTGCGCATGCATCGCGTTGACCTTTACGCGTAAGACCTTTACGGCTGCGAATATGCTTGTCCACGTGCGCAAAATACGTTTACGAGTGCGCGTTTAATGTATAACGGACGGTATAAGCTAAGCTAAA